CAGATGTCTCCATGCATCTCCATCACAGCAGCAGAAATGTCCACTACCTTGGGTGTGTAAAGCTGCTGTTCTGGGTCTATGTCAATTTTCTGTTGTTGTTCTCGTGTCCAATGAAGAGCCTCAGATGTCTCCATGCATCTCTATTACAGCAGCAGCAATGTCCTCTATCTTGGGTGTGTAAAGCTGCTGTTCTGGGTCTATGTCAACTTTCTGTTGTTGTTGTCGTGTCCAAAGAAGAACCTCAGATGTCTCCATGCATCTTCATCACAGCAGCAGAAATGTCCAGTATCTTGGGTGTGTAAAGCTGCTGTTCTGGGTCTATGTCAATTTTCTGTTGTTGTTGTCGTGTCCAAAGAAGAGCCTCAGATGTCTCCATGCATCTCCATCACAGCAGCAGAAATGTCCACTACCTTGGGTGTGTAAAGCTGCTGTTCTGGGTCTATGTCAATTTTCTGTTGTTGTTCTCGTGTCCAAAGAAGAGCCTCAGATGTCTCCATGCATCTCCATCACAGCAGCAGAAATGTCCACTATCTTGGGTGTGTAAAGCTGCTGTTCTGGGTCTATGTCAATTTTCTGTTGTTGTTGTCGTGTCCAAAGAAGAGCCGCAGATGTCTCCATGCATCTCCATCACAGCAGCAGCAATGTCCACTATCCAGTGTTGGGCATTAAAAAATTATTTTTCAATTAAATTGAAGTGCAATTATCAATTAATTAATTGTTAATTAGAAAAGTGCAATTAACAATTAATTAATTGTTAATTGTATGAATACAATTAACAATTGATTAATTGTTAATTGTGAAAATTACAATTAACAATTAATCAATTGTTAATCTTTAATAAATCATTTTAATTAATATTTGCCCAACACTGCCTGAGATAAAAAGTGTTTTTATTAAATACAACACACCTTTACCATCGTCAGCTGCAGTTGAACGCCTTTTTTCTTTTGCGACAATGACAAATCTGCCAAAGAGTCACAAATTGTCGGACAGCATGTTCGAGAAGAGAGTGGTACTGAAATGCAGTGTTGGGCATCAAAAAATTATTTTTCAATTAAATTGAAGTGCAATTAACAATTATTTAATTGTTAATTAGAAAAGTGCAATTAACAATTAATTAATTGTTAATTGTAAAAATACAATTAACAATTGATTAATTGTTAATTGTGAAAATTACAATTAACAATTAATCAATTGTTAATCTTTAATAAATCATTTTAATTAATATTTGCCCAACACTGCCACTATCTTCAGTGTGTAAAGCTGCTGGATCTATGTCAATTATCTTCAAGGCTGCGGCCATTGCTGGGCATGAGAATATGTGAGTAGGTGTTAGTTACACACCAGGACAGTTCATTTATCTTTTAATTTAATTGTATAAACATTATATGTATTGTGTATGAAACATACAAACAAAAATACAGAGTCAACATCTCATCATTGGTATCTGAACCAAAAGCTTGGAGCTATTCTGGAATGTGGGATGAACTGACAAGCAGCAACCTGTATCTTCAGGCTCAAAACTGGCCATACAAGACCTCTCCTCTTCCAGAATGATGTAAAGACCTTCCCACAATACACCATCTGCCTGACCAAAGAGGCCTCACCAGACCACCTCTTGGAATGTATGGGAACCTCAATACAGGACCTATATTCCAATTCTACCAAGATTGGGAATTTGATCAATGAATATAGTCTCCATGACCTTTTATAATTATGCAATAAGATAATAAAATGAATTGTGTATTGGCAACAGAGTATTGTTATCATTGACTTAGTATTTACCATCATCATCATGTGTATATAAGTTAGACAAAATACAGAGTTATCATATTTTGTCACCTTCTTGCATCTCCAAGATCCTACATGCCATCAAGAATATAAAACTGGCGAGGAGAACAAACTTAACGAAGCCGTAAGTGTAGACGTATTTGTATTACTAAAGTTGAATTTCGTTTATCTTTTAATTTGTATCCTAAATCGAATATTTAATGATTTTTATATTTTCAAAAGTGATTTATTAATTTGTATAGAGTGAAAGTTGAAAATTATTTTATCTATGTCATTAATTAACGTAATTAAACCATTTTATTTTAAAGATTAAAAATACTCTGTTATCAATACACAATAACATGATTGGTTGAGGTAGCTTTTTTTATTTTCGAACCAACTTCCAACCACAACAAATGATCTTAATATTTTTGTTTATATTACGATGCATTAGCGCGCCATCTGTTATGAAATTTCGAAACTATTATAGACGCGTATGATTCTTTTTAAAATTAAACAATATTCACTGCTCTTACTGCAATGGAAAAAATAATGGGAAAGCCTGGCTCATCATTGGTGAACCCTCCCAGCGGTTTGGCGATTTTAATCTACCATACCGCTTTTATATTGAATTTTTCGATCTTCCTTTTATAGTGATACTGATGTAAGACTCTAAGAATGGGTATTTTAGATGAACTATGAACATAAACTTAGAGGACACTTAAGCTGTCGAAACGGCTGTGAGGGTTCACCACTGATGAGCCAGGCCCTCCCATTAATTTTTGCATTGCAGTAAGGACAGTATATAATGTTTAATTTTAAAAAGAATCATACGCGTCTATAATAGCTTCGAAATTTCGTTTATTTTAATCTATAATAATATATTTCACATTAAATTTATTTTTCATATCTTTACTGAAACAATGTAATAAAGAAAACCTAACTGCTCATTATACCAAAGCCCCAAAATTAATTGCTTAAGCGCACCAAAAGAATAACAAGAATTTATCTTAATTACTCAGACGTAGGTAAAGTCGTTTGGTCATCTTAAACAATTAGGCCAAAAGATACTTTAAGAGAAGACGCTCGTTTGTGTCTTTTAATTGGAAATCTCTTAGAACTTTGGGAAGCTCAAGTTCAAATAAACTTTGCGGTTAGAAAGGCTGTGGTATGTAAGCACACTAATTCTTTTCCTGAATGAGGTTGATAAATCTAGACAATTAAGTGGTGGTAGAAATTTGATTTTTTAAATGGTAAAAATTATTTTAAATTTACATTGAAATATTTCGTAACAATTTTAAATCCAAGGATGTGTATATTCTCGTATTATGTTATTAAATTAGATACATTAATGAATCTTTTAATAATTTTAATTGGTGAATACTAGAAATTTGTCTTATAAACATATTTACTGATTCAAACCTCCTGGATATTAATCACACACACAAAAGCCTTTATTAGGGACATGCCCCATACAGATTCTTCCAATTGGGTGAGGTAATAATCATCTTGTGTTATTTACATAGAAATTGAACTGGCTTTACTCTTCGTCTCAAAGTCATTCACTTGTTGACTGGTCCTTACATAATGATGATTTAAAAAATGTTTAGTAAGCTATTGCCTTAGATTATTTTGCTGATATTTTTGAAAGCAATACGTAGGGTGAAGTGTTTGTACATTTAATTTGTTGATATAGGGCCTTCCTCTCTGCATCTCTGTACAATTAAGCAGGTAATGGGGGATTTCTTCAGTAATTTCCTTGTCACACAGTGTACATATTACGTTTTTGGCTTCAAACGTCAGAACGTGTTTTTTTTTAAGACTCTAAATAGTATTCTCGATTGAGTTATACAACGTTCCTGGATATTAATCAAACAAATGCTACAGGTTTCTGAAGATGAGTTTCTTCATCTTTATTAAACGTAATATCGAGATTTCAGGCATCTCTACCCTTTTACAGGAGAGTACATAGAAACATATAAACCCTATATAAACATATATTTTATATGAAAAATAGTACAAATTTGACATTGTACTGTAAAAAGGTTCATATATTAAGAAAAAGGAATAACCTTATCATTTCAGTTGCACGATAATGAAATGCCTTTTTCATAATATATTTTATATATTTCTATGTAATCCTGTAGAAGAACAGAGATTCCCGAAAGCTCGAGATCACGTTTAATAAAGATAAAGAGACTCATCTCCAGAAACCTTTTAGCATTTGTTTGATTATGAACGTATTTCTATGAAATATGGACACTTCGGCCAGTTAGGGTTTTTTTTTATTTTTCTCAACGTTTAGACAAAATTCTTTTGTCTTCGTTAGGAGAAATAAATAAAAATAAAGCATTTGGCAAGGTGTTAAAAATTGTTCTGGGGTTGCAAGGGCGTTCTCACGTGATTTTTTCGAATTTAGTACAACATCTAAAGCACGAGTCAAAAACAAATATTAAACTCGTCAAAGACTATGATCTTGGAGAAATAAATAAATATATAATAATAAAATTATAATCAAATAAATAAAGTAATATAATGATAATCATCACAAATGTTTTATTTTTATTTACTTCTTCTGACGAAGACAAAAGATTTTTGTCGAAACGTTGAGAAAAAAATAAAAAACCTCTAACTGGCCGAAGTGTTTATTTTTCATAGAAATATGAATGTAAGCCAGGCAGCCTCTATCTTCAGGATATAAACATATTGTGATTGACATCATTTTTATTGCAAATGTTACTTTATAACTACTAAAGCCTTTATAGAGAAAATTGTACCCGTCAAATATGCCAACACTTATTTCTACTATATATAGATATTAATTATATGACAATAACGCGCCATCTATAGATAAAAAATGGAATCAATAAAGCCTGAATGTTTCTTTACACATAAAACAAACTTTTCAACTATCCATACTGCAATGAAGATTATTGGGATGGCTTGACTAATTGTAGTAAGGACAGTAGTAGTCTGTTTTATATGTAAAATAAATATTCGTGTTTTATTATCTCCATTTCTTATATATAGATATTCTTACTTTTGTGTGTTGTATGTGTAAATAAACATATACATTAGTAGAACGAACATTTGAAAATTATACCGCATGTGTTTCTTTTGAACGAAAAATCGAAATTTATTTTAAGAAAAAATAACTATTATTTCTAACCTTAGAGATGAAGTATGAAAGGATTAATTGTGAAGACTAATGATAAACGGAAAAATAAAAGTGTCCAGGGATGGGAATCAAACCCAAAGTATTCTGCCTACCGGGCAGATGCCATGTCCACTAGGCTAACCTCAACATATTTGTCCCTTCGTAAATATTATATAAAGTAATTTATAATAAAATATAATGGCGGCTTATGATTGTAGTACATAGCATCTGCCCGGTAAGCGAAATACCGTGGGTTCGATTCCCATCCCTGGAAACTTTTTTTTTTCGTTTATCATTACTCTTCACAATTCACACTTCATCTCTAAGGTTAGAAATAATCGTTATTTCTCCTTAAAATAAATTTCGATTTTTCGTTCAAAAGAAACACATGCGGGATAATTTTTAAATGTCCTTCTACAAACATAAGCCGCATTATATTACATTATGAATTACTTTATATACATTAGTATATATGGGTTGGCTAAATATCACGAAGAAAGTTAAATAAACGTTTAGTTTATTTTTGTTCCACTAGATGGCGCTCTACCATCTAGAAAAGCTCATGTGAGCCTGGTCAGGATATTCCTCTTTTGTTTTTAATATCAACACCTGACCTATTTTATGTTTTTTATTTTTATTGTTTTTCACATAAACATTAGTTTGATGCGAATATTAGTTATAAAGAAAATATTAAAATAAGGAAAACTCGATTTTTGGATAAAGAGATTCGTCTTAATTTTAAACTTTCTGCAAACTTTCGAGAAAAACTTTTCAACGGGCAAATAATAAAAATTATAGCAATACGTTGAAGAGCAAAATTTGCTTGAAATAAATATTAATAAAATAAATGTTTACTATCCTTACTGCGATAAAAAGTGAAGCATTGGTTCATCAATGGTAAACCCACCCAGCGGTTTTGTCAATGTGATCCAGCTATTTAGAGCTCTAATACTGTATTTCGATTCTGTTTATATATGCAATACTGAATGGTGTAATCTTAGTTATGGTATGTAAGAGAAAACTATGGACATAGGTTTTCAGGGCAGTAGAATTATATATATATGTTATATTAAAATTTTATTTTATTTAAAATTATATTTCATAGATTCTAATACTCTGTTAAATCTGCACAAAATCGGCCGCCAGAGGTCACACTTCCCCTATAAAACCTCATTGTTGTTATATCCCGTTGGCCGGCTCAAAACTTTTGTACATTATGTAAATAAGTATTTCTATTTTTATTCTTAAGCCAGGCAGTACTTTTATCAAACCATGTTTTTTACATATTCTTCCAGTTCAATTAAATAATCTCTGATCAAAACTATTTTATTTATTATACCTTCAAGATTTTGCCACGACTGCATCACCAATACCATTTAGTACTAAAAAGAACCAACAAATAACTCCATTACCATAATCCTTAACATGATCTAAATTCAAGCAGAAAATCTCTTTCATTAATTAAATATAATATACTAGCGGATGTGTACCCGGCTTCGCCCGGGTTTAATCCGAGTGGAAGTTTGCCTAACGAATATTATTGATAATATATTTATTATTGATAATTGATAATAATATTCCGGAACACACACACAGAATATTATGATAATAATGATAATAATATTCGTTACGTTATATATTTATATAATATATAGAATATATTTTTCGAGCAAACATATCCACTCTCTCTACAGAATATATATTTTAAAAGATACATATAAATAAATAATATCTAGAGATAAACTACATGATCTTAGCCAAAAGGCCGAGAAATTATATTTTATATATAGAGATGATTCGTGAGTGAATGTTTCGCAGGTAGAATTTTGTTCCTGACTACTGAAAATTATTATCTGGCTTCGCCCGTGATCTGTTTTAGTGAATATTCCCCTAAAGTATTTTGTTTATGTCAATCAAGCATGATACAGCAATATTGTCATAATCATTTCTGACTAAAAAAATATCGTTGCTCAGTACCTGGTTAATTATAATTTTTCTTGGTTAAAGCGCGACAAAATACTCTTCCAGATTTAAATCTCTGTCCTGTTCAAATTTCAGCGAGATTAGTTACATATTGAGGGCGTGATAGCCGAAAAACATATATATATATGTTCCCGGCTACGCCGGTTTTATCCTAGTAAAGGTTTGCCTAACGAACATTTGTTAAAACGATTCTAGCAAACATCCAATCCCTATATTGAATCTACACTTGAATTCTACACTTGTTTTTTGTGTTTGAAATTTTTCCAGGTCTCTTCAAAAATACTCGATAAGTTGAATAAAATCAATATTAATTGGTCCACTCGGTAATTATATATTATATGGAAAAGAGTACAAATATGACATTGTACTGTAAAAAGGTTCATAAATTAAGAAAAAGGCATCTCCTTATCATTTCAGTTGCACGATAATGAAATGCCTTTTTCTTAATATATTTTATATGTTTCTATGTAATCCTGTAGAAGAACAGAGATACCCGAAAGCTCGAGATCACGTTTAATAAAGATAAAGAGACTCATCTCCAGAAACCTTTTAGCATTTGTTTGATTATGAACGTATTTCTATGAAATATGAACACTTCGGCCAGTTAGAGTTTTTTTTTTATTTTTCTCAACGTTTCAACAAAAATATTTTTTCTTCGTCAGGAGAAGTAAATAAAAATAAAGAATTTGGCAAGGTGTTAAAAATTGTTCTGAGGTTGCAAGGGCATTCTCACGTAATTTTTCGAATTTAGTACAACATCTAAAGCATGAATCAAAAACAAATATTAAACTCATCAAAGACTATGATCTTGGAGAGAAATAAATAAATATTTAATAATAAAATTATAATCAAATAAATGAGAATAAAGTAATATAATGATAATCATCACAAATGCTTTATTTTTATTTACTTCTCCTGACGAAGACAAAATATTTTTGTCGAAACGTTGAGAAAAATATTTAAAAAAACTCTAACTGGCCGAAGTGTCTATTTTTCATAGAAATATGAATGCTGGCCAAATTACCTCTATCTTCAGGATATAAACATATTGTAAATTACATCATTTTCATTGTAGTTGTTACTTTAAAGCTATTAAAGCCATTATAGAGAAATTCTCACCTGAGATATACGTAAATACTTATTCTACTATATATAGATATTATATTTAATAAAGAATGATAAGATTTCTGTTGATTTTTGATCATCTTGAGGATTATGGAGTTACTTGCTGGTTCTTTTTAGTACTAAATGGTATTGGTGATGCAGTCGTGGTTGAAATCTTTAAAGTATGATAATGAAAAATAGTTTTGATCTGAGGTTTCTTTAATTGAGCTAAGGAATGTATAAAAGACATAATTTGGTAAAAGTACTGCCTGGCTTAAGGCGTAAGAATAAGCTTATTTACATAATGTACAAAAGATTTGAGCCGGCCATCGGGAAAGAACAACAACGAGTTTTATAGGGGAAGCATGACCTCTGGCGGTCGATTTAACAGAGTATTTGGATCTATGAAATTCAATTTTAAATAGAATAATATTTTAATATAACATAGATATTAATTATAATACAATAACGTGCCATTCTATATACAGTTATCAGCGTCATGCGCTCTGTCACCGCTTGCTGCGCCACCACGTGGCGCGACGGTGACCTTGAGAGACGTAATGACAGGGTAGGAACAAGAAATCACTTGCAATCATTATCATATCATTTTATGTATATATCAGATTTAAAATATATTCATACAAAAAATCTAAATAATACAATTTTCAAATATCGTTGTGAAAACTTACATTTTTATTTTTGTATTTTAAAAACACACAAAGATTGAAGCGGGACATTTCAAAAGAGTGCCATCCACGACGCCAATTTATAATTGTAAAGAATAGTATTTTAATAAAACATTTTATCGGGTAAAACCCGGGCGTTGCCCTGCTATTCGGCTAGTCTATATATAAGAAAGGGAATTATTAAAGCATGAAACTTTCTTTTACACAATAAACATATTTTCTAGTATCCTCACTGCAATGAAAATTATTGGGATGGCTTGACTCATTGTAGTAAGGACAGTAGTACGAGCGCAACATACATAGCGCAAATGAAAACTGTCCTTTATAGAGAGGTGTCCTCTAGCGTGAGTGTCCTCTCATGGAGTAATTTCTACTGTATATGTTAATGCCTTAAATAAATTGCTGCATTGGCCTGAAGTTTGTCTTTCTTAATTTTCTACGCTCCCTAATTTTCTCTAAACTTGTCATCGATTGCTTCTACTTTCAACATTCATTCTTTGTAAACCCTTTTTTTAATGACAATTCAGATTGAAAAGCTGGAGGGGAAAAAATTTGAACAAAACAAATATGTTAAATATTCTCCATATAATAAACTTAGCCATTGAGGGTTACTTGGTCCCAAAATGAGTTTCCATTCAATGCTCTCGCCAGAATCAGCAATTTTCTGAATAGCGCACATTCGTACTACGCACTACTACTACGTACTACGTAGTTTGTTTTATATGTAAAAGAATCATTCATGTTTTATTATCTCCATTTCTTATATACACAGTAAACTCTCCTATAACGCGATTAATGTGTTCCGTGTTGTATGAAATCGCGTTAAAGGAATTTACGTTGTACGAAATAAAACTTGTATAACGCGAATGTTGTTAGGCTAAATTGTTTTATTTTATAACGCGTTATACGAAAATTCGCGTTGTATAAATACATTTGTCGCAATTTTTTATCGCGTTGTAAAAACTCGCGTTATAGGAGAGTCTACTGTACTTACTTTTGTGTTTTGTATGTGTAAAAAACATATACATTAGTTGAACGACATTTGGAAATTATCCCGCAGGTGTTTCTTTTGAACGAAAAATCGAGATTTATTTTAAGAAGAAATAACGATTATTTCTAACCTTAGAAATGAAGTATGAAAGGATTAATTGTGAAGACTAATGATAAACGGAAAAATAAAAGTGTCCAGGGATGGGAATCGAACCCAAAGTATTCTGCTTACCGGGCAGATGCCATGTCCATTATGCTACCCTGGACATATTTTTCCGTTCGTAAATATTATATAAAGTAATTTATAATAAAATATAATGCGGCTTATGATAGTAGTACATAGCATCTGCCCGGTAAGCGGAATACTGTGGGTTCGATTCCCATC